GGGGGGGGGCAACGTCTTGGTCCATTGGATGATGTCCGCTTTGCTACGGTGTGGTCCAGCTGCCGAAGGCGGGAAATTTTGAAATGTGCTGGCACCGGGGGGGAAAAAAAAACCTTGAAAAGCAATGAACCTCCCCGTTCAAAAATCAAATTCCGAATTGGGTGCTGCACATCACGACGGCGATGCGGGGCAGGTGGCATCCATATTGGCGAGGGTGGAAACGGGCATTTGCAGCAGCGCAGTGGAGTTGTCATAAGTCTAGACGAATTTGTGAGCGGCCCACAAAGGTCCATCGCCATCATCTCCTCCTGCCATCGTGCATATGTGTGGAGTCAAGCACATGCAGGGAACGTCGTTGGCGACTTGGCGCTGACGTTACCGTGGTCGTGGCGAGTTGGTAGACTGTTGTATTTTTGTGGTTCATGAGCATTGCAACACACGTGTCGATGGAGGGCGGCAGCGACGACGAACGTGCAAAGTTGACGACGATCGAGAATACGGCCGTGACGTCCGTGCTGTTTCGTTGTCAGCAGGAGAGGGCATTGGGCAGAATGAGAGCGCAGATCCTCATGCGGAGGAGGAAGATGCTTCATCAAGTCCCGGTCGAAGGGCTGGAGACTGTGGTCATCACCAAGGCTGTAGTTCAGGTTTGCTATGCCATGGGTTGCAGTGTTCTTCCACAAGCGTCCCCGAGGTGGTGGATGAAGAGGAGGACAGGGAGGGCGTGGGAGAATCTCAGGCAATTCGATGATGCGACGGAGGAGTACTTCTGGGAGAAGCTGCATATGTCACCACGTGTCTTTCGGGCGATGGCGATTGCATCTAGTGTGGACGAATGCCTGAGGGGCGTGCTGCCAATGTCGATGTCGACTGCAGCCGGTGTCGATCCCTCATCTTCTCTGCTGGAGGCTTTCGATAGATGTCGGCCATCAACGATAGAGGATGAACATGTGGAATAGGAGGACTATGACAAACAAAATTGCAATTAGGAGCAGCTGTGGCGACCTTCAATAGAGGTCGGCCATCAACGACACGTACGACAGGGCCGTAACTCCGCGACGACGGTTAAGGTCCATCGAACGGCGATGGTGAAGGGAGCAGACAGTAGAGGACAACATACGACACACGCGCTCTAACAGGTCGTACACCCTTGCATTGCGAGCCGGGACGTGGCCTGCACGGTGGCTCGTGGTGTACTGAAGATCTGCTCTTCGCCTGTCGTCCGTCCATGATGACGCCCTTCTTTGCAGAACGCCTCTTGCATGTGCGTCCAGACAGCCTGCCAAGGATGCAGACGTGGAAGACGATTAGAAGGAAAAACAAAAATGATTATTAGGAGCGGCAGCGACAGACTTCGAAAGACGTCGGCCATGAACGACGCGTAAAGGGCAGTAACTACACGACGTCGGTACACCTCCACCAAACGGTGACGAAGAGGGCAGCAAACGGCACCAGAACATCCGACAAATGACCTCTAACGTTTTACGTCGCTGAGTACAGTGGGGAATCGAAAGACGGGTCGGCTAAAGTATTCAATTTTGCCGGCCGTTGAAGCCCTTCCCGTTTAACGGCACGCACTGCGAGGGAGAACACTGGTTGAAGACGTTCGCAGAGGCCACCCGGCCACCAATGGTTACCGTCGGCGTAAGGATCCTGGAAGCGTGATGTGGCCGGTAGGTACTCCAATGGACCAGCCGATGGAAATTTCTTGTCGACAATGTGTGCCCTCTCTGCTCCGATTATTGCGGATCCTTGACCTCTGAGGGACCTTGGGAGGTACCTTGGGGAAGGCCACAAAATGACTGTAGCCCGAGGACGCCTCGATGATTCCTGGGGAAAATGTTTTCACTTTTTTTTTTTCTCTTTATCCCCGAGGATAGGTGGAACGATAATTTCCTCGGGGACTTTACGCGCCCGAGGAGTGTCTAACAAGGATGGGCAGAAGTTCCATGGAGATCACTCTACTCTCGAGTGATCTGCGCGATGGTTGGAAGGGCAACGAGTGTAGGTGGCGAGAACAAGTCAGCTATGATTGACGTTGGCCAGGATGACATTGTCTCTGAGATGAAATGTCCTGGTACAGGGAAGGCTAGGAGTTTGTTCTAGGATTAGGAGCCCAAATTTGCTGATATAGCATAGTCTTCTAAGATTTTTAACATACTAATATATTACCGTCATCATTAGCATTAATAGCATTATCATCATCTTTATCTCACAACTTCTCATAAGATCAGCAGAAGTTCATCATCATCATCATCATCATCATCATCATCATCATCTGAGGGACATTGAGACCGGTTCTCAGCACGTTTGTACTGGTTACTCTGGGTAGACTATGAGGACCCCGGTTCGCAGCTGTCAATTTTGCCAGAACCACGACAATGTCGCCATCGGGGCAGTGTTTCATTGGTTTTCGGGCTATTGAAACTAGCAGCGGATTTCCACTTTTCTCATTACGCCTTTTTCTTTTCATGCGGAGTGGCTCGGCTCTCAGTGTGAAATTGAATGAATTGAGCGATGCTGCACTCTTGTCCTGCTTTTGTGACTGTGCACTGTCATAGCGGAAGGGGAATGAAACATGATCCTCTTTTGTTTGTCAATACGGGTTGCTTTTGGTTGTTCATACTACTAAACTGGCTAACAAAAAGGTACAAAAGGAGGGTTGCTCCGTTCCCGTCCTGGACAACAATTTGAAAGCGCCTATGGAAGAGGAAACTTGTTCAATCAAAAGCCCATCATACGAAGAGCACCCACCTCTCTGTTCCATAACTGGGAGAGCTTCAAACCAGAGCTCCATGTGGGACAAGGCAACTTGGATCCCTTCCTCCCTCCTCTCCCCCCCCCCCCCGGGACTGCCCTTTCACTTGCCCCTTCGGTGTGGACTTGGGACTCTTGACCTTTCAGAGATCGACAGATTGCCCTTTCTTCAACTTGCGAGAGGTCAAGTTGACTCTTTGAGCACTACTCTCGCCACGACCTACTGACCTTTCAGAGGAGGTATGGCCGGTTGACTTTTCGAAAGGTCAACTGTAGATTTACCATTTTAGGAAACTTACAGACAACCCTTAAGACTTCTAAACAACTGATCTATGGATCAAATCCACACGACCCAAGCTGCACACACGGTTTTAGGGCCAGGGCGCAGGTTCAAAGCACACGGGGTCAACGGGCAACCATACAGTGGGCTAGGGAAGGTCTGGGGATCGAGTCCTGGTATCTGCAATGTTGCGCGAACTGGGTGAAAACCGTGAAACCCTTGCACCCCTGCTTCGTCTGACAGTGAGTTATTTTCTTCCGTTCCGTACATCTGCAATGTTGCACGAACTGGGTGAAAGCCTTTCACGCCTGCCTCGTCTGACAGGGAGGTATTTTCTTCCCTTCCGTCTCGTTTGTCTCTTCTATTTTCAAGTTTCTGTTGATGGGGAGAGTTGGTTATGGACGATTGCTAAGTGTACTTTGAAAAGCGCAATGCTATTCGTGCAGTGATTGCTGGTTTCCGTGAGCCTTCTGCCTCTCATCGTTTTCCTGAGCTTTCTGATGTAGGGAGAGGAAGTCGGAGCAAAATTGTTTTTGAGCATAGCAACTTTTTGGTCTGCTGTTGTCAAAAAAAATGGTGCTCAAAAATGATCCTCGACATAACCAGCAGACAGGTCCGGTCTGATGCCTGTGCCCTGTGTCTGAATTTGGCACTCGGATCTCGTGCGCAACAAAGACCTCTCACAAAAATCTTATACTAGAAATGTTCACAATCCTTTTTTTTTTTTTTTTTTTTTTTTTTCCCTTCGGTATCATGAAATCATTAAAATGTACGCAAACTTTGCAAAGGCTTGCTAGTAGTTACTACAGGCACTGTCATCATCTGTGCCTAGATGTTCAGAGAGGTTGATTTAGTGGTGGGTGCCTGCCATGGACTTGGGCATCGCCTGCACCATCGGCTGTTCTACAATGCTTGTGAAATTTCAAAATTTATTTTAGAACGCAATGTGGCTGCTTTTTGGAGGGATGTTAAACCGCTAGCACACGGCCCCACCCAGCCTTGCAGAAAGTTTTTGTCGCTACAAGCAAAACTCGGAGGTGCCGTGCGGCGTGGGGCGCTGTTAAAAAAAAAAATTGGCGGCCTCCGAAGTGGTGCGGGTTTCGTGCTGACACCCGCGGGCCGATATGTGGTGTACTGGTGCTTTAAGGTTAAAAGGAGAGCTAACTTTCCAGATGTAACCGTTGCTTGCCTGGCTGCCGTTGAGAATACGACAACGGAAAAATGAGACGATGGGGAACAGATGTTTTCACATTAGTCTAGGCAAACAGAGATATCACTCTTACCACTCCGCACGTGAACCATTGTAGCGTTGATACGGGCGGCATTAAAAGATGCAGATTGTGTATTGGACGAAAATGCAAAGTGTGCATTGAAGTTGATTGAACTGTATCCGCTTTGGAGGACTACAGTCTTTCCCCGAACACAACGCACCCTCATTATGCTGTAACGGACCGGAAAGATGGCTTGTATACATTCATTATCAGGGTGCGTTGTGTTCGGGGGAAGACTGGACTGGACATTGGACTTCTATTTGCAGGAAAAGCGTCTTGCGAGCTCCTCCTGACCGGCGTCTCATCTTTTCACAAGTTCACCTCACCACTACTAGGTCCAGTCGCTCTCTCAAACCACTACTTCAAAGGTGATTGATTGGTCGGTGACTCGGTGATATGGACTCTGATTGAGTTCATGGAGCTGTATATAACACCCTGTCAACGTGGCGCGTTTTGGTTTTGTAGTATCGAGGATCATTTTTTATTATTTATGGCTCTTTCGCTGTTGCTGCCCGTGTTTGTTTCCTTAGTGGCTCGTAATCGCAGTCTGTAATGTGGTTTTGTAATGGCAGCTTTGTGTCGATTGCAAACAGTTTGATTAACTTCAAGTTGGGAATGTCATGTGTGTTAATTGGACAGAGCGAGATCATGACCGGACCAGGAACAGGGAGTGGGATGGCGATGAGCCCCTGCAACCCCCTCCAAATAAATTGCAGAGCATTTTCAGGGGTGTGTATAAGACAGGATTGAAGTGGGTGACGCATATCCGTGTGAATGGCAACACAGTCTATTTGGGAGCATTCTTTTCAGAGGTAGAAGCTGCACGTCTGTATGACAGGTCAGTGATGCCTCTCACCACGTCATCACCACCTCTCTATATGTTCGCTACCCCACCCCTCCTTGTATGTGGGTGGGAATTTTGTGCACTTTACTTTGTGGCACTCGCAGAATGACAGGCAGACAGAAAGCCTTATCTTGTGCAGGTTTTTGGAAGTTTGCCATGGCAAAGAAGTAGCAAGAACCTTGTAGCAAAATAAGACAATGCTGTCCTTCAAAAGGTGTTATACTCTTTCAAGGTTGTGAAGGGAAACTCCACCAGTGCCGCCAAACCAGGTTATTTTTCCATGCACCGCGGCACAGATGTTGTGCCTGGATACACACCTCGCCGCCAGGTCGGGCAGGACCCCTGGGTGGGTCTGGGGCATTCCCTGCGCATTATCAAAGAACAAAAAAGTTTTGTGTCACTGAAAACATTTTTGTTTATTTTTGTGTGTTTTTCTTCCTGAAATGGTGGAACTAGTAACTACCCTATATATCCCTGAGTTTTTTTTGCATTTTCATCAACCGAAAGTCGGAAACATGAATTACATATCACCAAAGTTGGCATACTTGCAATTTGTGTGCACCCCCCGGTACC